AACTCCAACATCAGGAGAACACTGAACAACAATGGTGTGCATGGCAGGGCTGTAAGGAGAAAGCCACTCTTTTCCAAAAGGAACATTTGTGCCTATCTGCAGTTTGCTCAAGATTATGTGGACAAGCCAGAAGGCCACTGGAAAATATTTTGAGGATGGATGACACCAAAACTTTGGTTTTAAATGAAAAGTGTTATGTTTGGCAAAAGGAAAACATTCCAGCATAATAACCTTATTCCATCTGTGAAACATGGTGATGGTGGTAGTATCATGGTCTGGGCCTGTTGTGTTGCATCTGGACCAGGAGGGCTGCCATTGTTGATGGAACAATAAATTCAGAATTTTAATAGCAAATTCTCAATGAAAAGTTCAGTTCTGTCTATGTACTATTGAACTACACACGCAAGTTGTTCTACCAAAAAAGGGTTAAACAAGAATAAAGTGAATGTTTTTACCTTAAAATTATCAAAGGCTGGGGAAGCGAGCAGCTCGTGAGAAAACCCACCAACATCCAAGAGTTGAAGCTGTTCTGTACAGAGGAATGAGCTAAGATTCCTCCAAGTCGATGAGCAGGACTGTTCAACAGTTACTGGAATGTTTAGTTGCAGTTATTAATGCACAGGAGGGTCAGACCAGATCCTATAAGCAAAGGTTCACATACTTTTACAACTCTACAGATATGCAACATTAGATAATTTTTCTCAATGAATTAAAGACGGATAATATTTTTGTCTTATTTGTGGAATTTAGTTCTGTTGATCTACTTTGTGTGAAAATCTGAGTATGTTTTAGGTTATATTTGTGCAGAAATATAGAAAATTCTAAAAGGTTCAGAAACTTCAAGTGCCACTGCATATTTCCAATGGCAATAATACGTGCAATAATATTATGACTTAACATAAATGGCTGCAGAACATTGACTGTGAAGCCATAAGGTAAGAACATTTTCGAGGTTCTCAAGAGCAGCAGGCCTGTAGAAAGTCCAAAAACATAATTAAATTATAAAAGAACAGGCTGTTAACGCTTAGAATGTCTTCTCTGGACATCAGTCAGGTCTGTGAGGCCATATTTTAAATGTTCTGGCTGATATTGTACAACAGTATGCTTAAATGTTTTCATTTCAATCAAAAACTATTAAAGTTAAAAAGCAAAAAAAAATAATAACACTACTTGTCAAAGTATTGACCACATAATCCATCCCTGTTATTGAAAGAGGGAAAGCTTCACCTTTGCAAATGTTGACAACCCATTGTTCACCTGATCATCAGTCAGGGCCACAGTGCTGACTTTGTCAAGTGCGGGCATACTTGCCGAGGCCCAGCAGGTCTTATTACTGCCAGCTTTTCTGCACAAGTAACTTCAGCTTTTTAAAAATGTTTTTACTCATTGGAAGAGCTGCTCTCATAAAACATAGTGGGCTTAAAACAGCTAAATCCTGAGAGCTTCCCCTGTGAAAGAATGAATGTTGTTAACACATTTTTATAAGGAACTGTTCAGGCAGGTTTGTGCACTAAAATGTTACCAAATTTGTGGGATTACAGAGGATGACATTAACACTATTTTGAAGAAATCTTCAATGCTGCAATATTTGATATATGACATTTTGTGCATTAAACACATTCCTGCATTCTGGAGAATTACACCTTTCTCAAAGCTTTATCATTTGGTATTTAAAATTTCTTGTTCCAAGCTATTTTTCATAACATTTTTAACAAGTTATGCTTTCAAAAAGTAAAGAGGACAATATCAGCCCCAGTGTCAATGACACCTATGGTTTTTGGACTATCTACAGACCTGCTGGACTTGAGGACCTCGTAAAATGTTCTTACCTTATGGCTCACAGTCAATGTTATGCAGCCATTGATTTAACCGGGCATTCATTGAAATACTGCCACCTGCTGGAAGAAAGGCGAAACAGATTGATCTGTTACAATGAAAACAATCAAAGTGGCCTGCAGACAGACATTAAATATGAATTTAATATTAGAAATATAGTGCTAACAGTAACAACTCTGCACACACAATAATTACCTAGGTTAAACTAGATTACCAACTGTATTGCACCAAACAATGTGCATTAAACGTGAGTCTTGCTTTTTTTACATGTATAAATGCACAATATTATATATTGCATAATAATCAACTACTGTAGCTAACATATTTCTCTCGGTCCAGGTTTACTGATTGATTGATTTGTTTCTTCTAACTTTACCCTGGTATAACATTAGTGCTTGCATAATGTTACAGAATGACCGTTCTACAAGCTTTTTATTTTAATATTTACTATTACTTCTGGGTCACCTGAAGTAATAGTAAATTCACCTCATGGTAAATTAGTGGCATAACGTACACAAACAGCGGCAGGTCCCGTGGCATCATAACAGTTAGATTACAACAAGAACTACCACACAAACAATGGCAGGCACCTCAGGGAAATCTGTGGCATCTCAAGCTGCCACCGGAAATACCATAATAAACAGCGGCAGGTGCCGCGGCATCTCAAGCTGCCACCGGGAAAGCCACTGGTAGCTTCCAATGCCACTATTTGAGCCTGTCCCTGCTGTTCTTTCCTGAGGTCAAAGAGGTTTCTAAAGGAACTCTTAATCACTCTGCGGGAATATTACTTTTAATTCGAACTCTACTTTAATTCGAACTCTTCATCTTCAGTGCCTTGTTGGACGACATAGCTGCATTTTCCAACAACATTCTTTAGCTGAAAAACCTTGCATATGTTTTTATGTATAGCCTTTGTGAGCTTCACTCAGCTTAGTCACTAAAATGTTCTCCCACCTCAATGCTTACTTTTTATTATTCACTCTTGTTTACCTTTTCATTTATGTTAATTCATTCTGGGTTTCCCACTCACTGTGACCTGACACTTAACTATTCTTCTTTGAATGCTTTGATGTTACTTCAGTACATTGTGTTTGAGCTCCTTCAGATACACGTGCCATAGAGTCAACATTTTAACAAATTCACCGTTTCGGGACTCCCGGAACCGTTTGTTGTGAAAAAGTATTTCTTGTCTAAAAATACCCGCTGCCAGATGTTTGCTGCTGTTGCAGTATAGAGGAGCACAGTCGTTACGTCACTGTCCGGGGTTTCCTAGAGAAGTGAACCCTACGGCGTCATGGCGGAGGCCGGTTGTCGGAAGACCCTGGATTGAAATGCCAACTTTCTACAATCGCAGTTGACCGACGACCACTATACTTTGCTTACATCTAAAACGGGAAAGGGGACATACTTGATTATTGGAGGGAGAAGAAACGCAACATTGAAGCAGCTTTATCTAAGTGAATCGTACGGGGCTGCTCTCCCTAACTGGGAGTTAGCTAGCTAACGTTAGCGTAAAGGTAACGCAAGCGTTAGCTATCAGTGGCTGCTAGCGCGCTAGATAAATAAAAGAAGAACGGCCCTCTAAAGTGGAAAGGCGGATTTAGAAAAGTATTTCATTGGAGTTTCACCGGGTGACAATATAACGGTAGGTAACATGCAGCGTGGAGATACTTAGTTTAGCGAGAAAGTAAGCTAACGTTGCATGTTGATGTGGTAAAAGCCGCGAGAAGTGAGCGGCGAATGAAAACAAGATGGAAGAGGGTGAAGTTAGGTTAGCTAATTTGTGTTTGTGGGTTTAACAATGAATACTAAATACCTTTCACAGTCTGGTGTGATCCACTGCTTGACCATACATTTGCATAGTTAAATGTAATTGACTTGTAAACGCTGAATATCGGCAATAACCGGAAACTAAACATTCCAGCGATTCCCTGCTAATATGAACTAGCGCAAAGTTTTGTCATTTTTTTAGCTTCCGTGCTAGCCTCGTGCTTCATAACGTTAAGTTAGCTAACGCTACTTTCCTTGACAAGCTCAGACGGTGGAGCATCCCTCTCATATTCAACCCACGTTGACGTTAAATAAAAAAGTGCCTCGACATTCAATATCTGACCCACACGGTTGCGGCACACGTTGTGAAATTAAAACGCTAAGTTAACTGTTGCTTTTATTGTTTTACAGGTGTTATGTTTTTCTAGCCCAGAACATAATCTAGTATCATACAAGAGCAAGCAAACAGTAACTGATTAGACATAAGGGACAGTCATTATCCTGTAAGTTAGCAATAAAGTAATACAGGAATGCCGATTGTTGCGGGATATTCTCCGTTTGGATTTGGAGATAAAATACTGGCTGGCGCGTTGGCAGTGTGCATACATTGCTGCTAACTTGCCCCGCCAATAGCTTATTAGCGGTATTAGCTAGTTGGATAGAAGCTAAGCTGTAGCCATACTAAGAATATATGGTACTAGAATGACCAATTTTGGCATAAGACCGTTTGCTAGAAGTCGTTTTCCAGCATCGGCTAAAGTTAAAGTAATTAGTTATTCTTGAGTATCCGCAGTGCTTTGTGTGGATGTGAAAACACGCTGCTGCTACGCGGGCCTGATAGGCCTCTCCGGTGTGGGAACAAATACAGCTAGCCTTATGTTATATGTAGCTACAGCCATCCGCACAGCCAGTCTGTTGAGGTTTTAACGTCTGGTATTCGTTCAAATGTGTTTTAGTTTTTTACGGAGACCGTTAATCTCTTTAAGAACTACAATGCAGAGCATACATTTCTTTAGAAACGTTAACATTAGAGATGAAAAGACTCTTTGAAAAAGTGTATTGACAGCTACACAAGGACAACTGAATGGTTGAACTTTGATGCAGGGTTAACGTTATAGTCAGTCAGGGCAGCTGCAAGGGCATTTTGCTTTGTAAGCATACAGATTTGTACCTGCATTGTGTTATTTTGCCATGTTGGGCTGAAAAGACCCTCTTCGTGTATACTGTTATGAAAACACAATTTTATTGAAATGAGACAGCTTTGACTAAGACAGTCCTGGCATTTCCCAGACAATATTTCTAATGTTAATGTGTATCTTCCCTTAAAGGTTGTCCACGTGGAACATAACATACTACAAGTTGTCAGGAAGAAGTCTATACATTTGGACTTCAACATGGCTGGACGCAGTGAGGATGAAAGTGTAAGCAATAGCAGTGGAGAGTCAAGGTAAATCATCAAATTATCTTTCACAAATAGGTCTGGGGTGATTCATGGACGTAATTGATTATGGTAATACATCAATTTGCATTAAGTGCATTGTAATGAAGCTCTGCGCCCAGTCTAAGCTGGGATTCTTCTGGAGAAAAAGCTCCAGCTAAAAACCTTCACCTAAAGTTTGGGAGTATTTTAGACCGAGAACCAACAATGTGGTGCTTTGTAAGCTGTATAAGTTGGAGTTCAACTGCATGAACCCTTGAAACAGCATGAACACTTGCGAAAAGCATCCCAGAGCACTTTTCAAGACGGCAGCAGCAGCAGCAAGACGGGACCATATTTGATTTTTGTCCCAACACAAACCTGATATATCAGGATTATCAACACGAGGAATGTGTTTCTGTTGGTAGTGGTCGCATAAAATTGATTTTCTAAATGTTTCTTCATCACCTCCATGTTAAAAGTAATTTCTGTACCGCTGGAGTCATGGTAACTTGACGTTTGTGTGACTGAGAAAATGGCTTATACTAAATACCAATTATTCTGTTCTTTAAAGGACTGTGGTACAAAACCTGTTAATAAAGACAGATTTCTCTTTACATGTGACAGTAATTCCGATGATGAATCTGGTTCTGGATCGGGCTCAGCATCAGGGTCCGACTCGGGCTCTAGTTCCAGCTCCTCCAGCAGCAGCAGCCAATCAGGGAGCAGTGACTCAGGTAGTGGCTCAGACTCTGGCAGCCAGTCAGAATCTGACACAGAGAAATTCAAGGAGAAGATGGAGCTGCCAAATAAGTCAAACATTGATGGAGCTGAGGTAAAGACATATCATCAAAGATGGGCCCACATTTGTTCAACCAATAGGACATGCGGAGAAAACAAAAATATTCTGACAAGACAACATTTCATCATTATGTGTTACCTGTAATGCTGCTTTCATATAATCAGCATGAAAATGCTTTTCACTGTGTGAAACTATTTGTCAAAACTGACTTAGTGTAGTTTCCTTAAGTCAGAGTTCAGATGGTATGACCTTTGACCTAGTTTAACACATTTCAGAGCACTGCAAGTTGTCCTTTTCTGGTGGGGAGGGGTTAACACGATGGTTGGCTCGTCACATGAAAGCTTTTTAACCTGTTAACATATTTTTGTCTAAACTTAAGTTACACTCATTGATTGCAGTTCTGGAAGTCCAACCCAAGTATCCTAGCAGTGCAAAGATCTGCTATGCTTAGGAAACAGCAGCAGCAACAACAGCAGCAGCAGCAGCGACAAAGCTCCTCAAATAGTGGATCTGATGAGGTTTGTTTCAAACCAATCAATACAAGGACTACTAAGAACTAATCAACACCATTTGGGGATGTCATTAGTGTACTTACATAGGATGTTTTTGAAGGTGCACAATGGCACAATATGATTATTCATGAACATGTCTTTGATAACCTTTTTAAGGACTCGTCAAATAGTGATGAATCTGACTCATCAAGTGGATCCAAGAGAAGAAGAAATTCAGGCTCCTCTGGATCGGGTTCTGGATCTGGGAGTGGTTCGAGATCAGACTCATCAGCAGATGACAACAGTGATGAAACGGCATCAGACTATGAGCCCAGTCACAAAATCAAAAGCAGAAAGCCTCCAACCAAGTAAGTGGGCAGTTACCCATTAATGCCTGAGTACACAGAGTTACATTACTATTTCTCTAACTGTTATGGTCACTCACCTCAGCCATTTAGGTATTGGTCATAAGACCTATGCCCTTAAAAGGAATACAAAAACTGGCTTGAGATAAACTCGGCACATACATTACTTCTTCACCTCTTGTCATGGATGTCAAGGATGAATTTTCGGAATGGGAAGAAAAGCAGCACCCAGAGGAAGAAAGCCCAGAAGTGTTCTTCTTCTGAGTATGAGGATGATGACTACAAGAAGGTGGCGTCTGCAGGTCCACGGCGGCAGGCCACAGTCAACATAAGCTACAAGGAGGACGAGGAATTGAAGACTGACTCAGATGACCTGGTGGAAGTTGTGGGTGAAGATGTCCCGCAGCCGGAAGAAGATGAGTTTGAAACACTGGAGAGAGTGATGGACAGCAGAATAGGAAGAAAAAGAGGTAAGGAACACAGTGTTCAGATTGATATCCTCCACTCTGATCGGGGTTTTCCTGCCTCTTGATCATGTACACACATGCATTTGTACCGTGGCTTGAACTGGCTCAAGGAAGCTCTCTTTACAAACAACGTACTATATGTATATACGTAATTGTATGTTTCAAGAAATGTTTTTCAAGAGATGTCATTTTGACGGGTGCATTTGCCCTGAAGGAATAGGGTGCATCCACTATAGTCAGTTCATGGCTGAAGACGTCTTCTGTAGATTCTGAAACTTCTTGTACTTACAAGTCATTTCAACAACCAAATGATTGAAAATACGGCCCAGGTTTAAAATACCAACAATTTTAACAGGTGCCCTGTTCTACATTAAAACAAATACAAGATAAAAGCTAATGTGTGAATTTACACAGTAACATCAGCTCTTGTGTTCATGTATAGTTCGCTGGGGTCCTCTAGCAGTGTAACTGATGTGAATTCCTGGATATTAAATGTTAATCTACAATTTTCTGTAGTGTCCCTACATGCTTCTGTTGTTACTGCATGTCACATGACATGGTTAATCTATGTTTGAGATTGAGAACATGACGACAAACACTGAGATACTGAATTCTTTGTAAACATCCTGTTAAAGCATCTTTATTTGACATACTCACTTTTATAATCAACTTTTCCCCCCAAAAGTTGATTATAGAATTAAATGTCCAATTTTTTTCCCCATTCAGCAGCGTAAACACCTTTTGGCTTTGTAGTCGCTGTACAGAACGGCATGCAGTCAAATATGTGGTGCACAGAGCAGCATTCGCAAAAGCCCACTGCCATTTGCAGCAGCGTTTTAAATGCCTGCTGGTAATATAAAACTATATTAAAACATGGAAAAGCAGTTGTTAGTGATGATGTTTGCTGTGTGGAAAAGATGTTACCAGCAGAAACACTTTGTGCTACACTGTGGCGCTGCGGTCCAGCCAATCAGATGGCTGTTTTCTTCCTTTTCTGGAAGTTTCAGCACCGTCTTTACTGGTGCACTGTGCTGATTATGACACATGGGGAATGTCAGAAGATAACAGGGAGACTGCTTAGAACTTTGGTGTACTGGTAACTTTAAGGGCAAAAAATATTTTTGACTGGCTGGATGAATAGAAAATAGATAGAAATATGTAACACAGTGTTTCTTAATTTCCCCCCCCCCAACAGCAACAGGAAGTGCAACCACTGTATATGCTGTGGAAGCAGACGGAGACCCCAATGCCAACTTCAATCCCAACAAAGAGGCTGGTGAAAGTCAGTATTTGATAAAGTGGAAGAACTGGGCCCATATTCACAACACTTGGGAAACAGAGGAGACACTCAAGTTGCAGAACGTCAAGGGCATGAAGAAACTGGATAATTTCAAGAAAAAGGAACAGGAGAAAAAGAAATGGTGAGAGCTTCTTGCTTTATTAAAGGTCTTCGCAGTCTTACACTTTTATACACACTAAAATCTGTCTAGTCTTCTACTGATGACTGACTGACATAGATGAGGACAGAAACCAGAAAATATTCAGATTTAAGAATTTCTTTTCCTTGAAAATAGACAAAATAGTTGGCAAATTATTTAATAGTTGAGAACCAATCTATTAATTGTTGCTGCTCTAGTGGCCAGTCATTCTTCCTGGTCAATGCAATGACCTTACCCAGGCCAAACCCATAATTCGGCCTATTTCTATCTGAATGCGTACACACACAAAATAGAAGAAAGTTTCCAGGAAATCAGGTTTTCAATCCCCGGCTTCTCCAGGCTGCATGTCGAAATGTCCTTGGACTAGAAACTGAACCCTGAATTGCCCCCGATGGATGAATATATATGGATGTTTTTTTCCGTTCGAGCACTTAGGCTCGAATGTGTGTGAATAGGTGAATGTGATGTAGTGTAAAAGTGTTTTAAGGGTGCTCTGATGAGGATTTTTTGGGCTGATTGCTGAAAGCAGTATCAGCCGGTACCGATCACTGGGTCTATTTTGAACCCTTTCATTTATCATGTAGCATTATACAGTATATTTATTTAATTAGTCCTAAAAAATGTATTAAGTGTTAACTTTAACACTTTTTTTAGGACTAACATGATAAAGTATAATGAAATGTTATTATTATAAATTATTGCCAGTAAACATGGGCAACCAATTCCACTCCCTCTGTCTTAGAGACTTAAACCATAGCAGCCTTTGCCTGATTACTGCGAACATCTTATAGCTTAACAAAGCTTTCCTGTGGAATAAACTACAATAACAGAACAAACGACATATTAATACATTTACTTCAACTGAGTCCATGATAAACTCTGAAGCAGCCAGTTTTTGTTGTGGAAAGCTCAGGCAGGTTCTTTGGGCTTTAGATGGGAGAGAGAGGGAGAGTGGGCTACAGAGAGAAGTCAAAACTGTCATCAGTGTTATTTGAAAATAAGGGAAATTTAGTATGTTGTAAATAGATGAAAGGATTACCGGTTTAACGGTAAACCATGGTAAAATTCCCGACGGTTATTATTACCGTACACATTTTAATTACCATGATAACTGGGTACGGTTATCCACGCTGTTATAATCTCACGGCAAACACTGTCCAGCGTCTCCCAGAAGCAGGCGGTTGTAGTTTTCAATATAAAACTTGTTGAAATGGTTTCAGTGTGTGTATCAGTACACATTTTTACAATCCCCTGATAATACTGATAACCATGATAATTTTAGTCACAATAATCGTGATATGAAATTTTCATACCGTTTCACCCCTAATTGTTAATATTGCTTATAGTTACTATATTAAATATAATTACATGTGGTTCACCACTAGTATAGGCCTAATATTTCAGTGGGTTTTTTTCATTTATTAAATCCTTGTGAAAGAAGCACAGTCTGCATCTTTTACATAGGCCTACTGCTACCGGCTTTATCAGAGGAGAGAGTAGCAAACATTTTATATACGGCCAGCAGATTTTTATTTGATTTTATTATGAGATTTACGGGGGGGAAACATTTAACAGAAGGAGACCGAGTGAGAATGGAGCAATACCGGAGAATCTAGGGGAAAACGGGAGGGTTGACATGAATATTTTACATAAATTCATAAAATTCATAAAATATTTTAATAAAAATACTGAAACTACAACTTTGTCGGTAGCATCGTGTGTTTGCTTTTCATGACCGAATCACAAAGCCAATAGTGAATGTCTGTGAGTGTGTTTATAAAGTCCTTCGTTTTTGCGGATTCGCCATTTTCTGGACAGGAGGCGGAAACGTAGCAGAAAGTCTCTGTTGTTGAAACTCACACTGAAGGATCAGTCTCTCTCTCTGCCTGATGCACTGATGAGTGTCAAGACAAATAAACTCTGGTGGCGGGGGTGTGTGTGTGAGATGAGCAGGACCGCGGCAGTTTCACATGATCGCTCCTGCTTGTTGTTCCGCTTGTCTGATTGCTGCTCAACTCTTTGTAAATGATTTAACTGGACGCATTAATTACCTCCTTGACTTTGGTGCTAGCTAGCTTTGAAAACCGCTCAGACCGCGTAGTGAAACCATTTTACCTGCTGTTGAAAATTTGTCCGGCAAGTATTGCATCATCTGATAGGCTTTTCTGATCGGCCTTTTTAGAGACCACCAATCAAACTAGTTAAAGCCATTATCGGCCGATTACGATCGGTGACCGATCGATTGGAGCACCCTTAAAAGAAATGATCTGACTGTGCATTCAGACCAAACGCAAATTTAATCCTCAAGTGAAGATGAATTGTTTTAATCCAAAAAGATTAAAGGAAAAAGTAAATTTAATAAAAGCAATTCACTCTGAGCTCCTCCCACCGGTAAACAGTGCAATTGTCAGAGCATAATCCAGTCTACAGGTGTTTATTTGTCCAAAAGCTGCAGCGCTGCCCCTGCTCTCTCCTCCACAGCTCCCCGTAGATCAGCAGCTGTCTGTTGGCCAGCAGAGATTCAGTCCCTCTGCTCTCCCTGGTGCACTCCAAACAACACTAAGTCAGTGACATCCAGACTATTTAAACGCTGATTGTGACACAGCTTCACATGACTTTATTGCTACTAAGTTAATAATTGTAAATCTTTTGCTGCAGCGCTGTCGGTTACTAATCTCTATTAACCTTTATTTCGATAGGACATAGAGAGAAGTTGGAAATAAGGGAGAGAGATGTAAAGAAATTCCGCAAAGGGCCCAGAAATTGAATACAGGTTATTGTTTACTTTATAATGCTTTTTTCTTCTCCCCAGGTTAAAGGCAGCTTCACCAGAGGATATAGAGTATTTCAACTGTCAGGAAGAATTGATGGATGACCTGCACTCTCAGTACCAGCTTGTAGAGCGAATCATAGGTGCATCATAGGTTCTTCTAGAATCATTTGTGTGAAACATCTTACTGTGAATATATTTGATGTCATTGGATTTAAGTAATTAAATAGGTCTCTGAATTCCTTTTGATCAGGACATTCAAACCAGAAGTCAGCAGCTGGTTACCCGGACTACTTGTGTAAATGGCAGGGCTTACCATACTCCGAGTGTAGCTGGGAAGATGGTGCTCTGATCGCCAAAAAGTTCCAGAAATGCATTGATGACTACATGAGCAGAAACCAGTCAAAGACCATTCCATCCAGAGACTGCAAGGTAACTCACTCCCAAGTCTATACTGGCAGTGGCAATATGTTGGTAATGTGTTACACCTTGGTAGAGTGGAAGATAAGATCTTCTGTGTCAGTTTCCAGTTTAAAATAAGCTATTCTTTCCTATAGGTGCTGAAACAAAGACCCAGGTTTATGCCCATGAAGAAGCAGCCAGCTTACATAGGAGGTGATGGACTGGAGCTCAGAGACTACCAGTTGGACAGTTTGAACTGGATGGCTCACTCCTGGTGCAAGTATGACTCAATCAATACTTAAATGTTGCATTGTCCTTAAGTACATTCTGTAATCATGGGAGAAGAAGTACCATAGCTATCAGGGTTTCCTTGGATCCCCACAAAGCTACAGTGGCACCTAACAGTAAAATGTGATATAGTCCACAATCAAATGCTGGCTGCTTCATCACTCAGCACTGTGTAGTTGGCCCAGTCTGACCTTTTACTGTTGCTCTCTTCTGCTTGTCATTCACAGAGGCAACAGTTGCATCCTTGCTGATGAAATGGGTTTAGGGAAGACCATCCAGACAATCTCCTTCCTCAATTACCTATTTAATGAGCACCAACTATATGGGCCATTCTTGCTGGTTGTGCCTCTTTCTACACTAACCTCCTGGCAGAGAGAAATCCAGCTCTGGGCCCCTCAGATGAATGTTGTGGTCTACCTGGGAGACATCAGCAGCAGGAATATGGTATGGCGGTTCAAATACCTGTTACAGACAAACACACAGTAGGGGGAATGGCGGTGGACCAGATCATGTCTGCGGAAGGATATCACATATTCAGCTGTTACAATTTTATATTCCCATTTTCTTGTACGGAGAGTTAAGATGTATCGATGTAAGCAGCAAAGCCTTCAGTTTGTTAATGACTGTCACCGTTTATTTTCCCTTCTGTGTTTTTCATTTAATAGATCAGGACACATGAGTGGATGCATGTCCATAGCAAGAGACTGAAATTGAACATCCTCCTCACAACATATGAGATTCTTCTCAAAGACAAGGTTAGCTCAGCAGCTACTTCACTGTATCATGGATCGTGGTCTTGCTGTTGTTTGTCACTTAATCTCCTTTATGTATGACACAATACATGGTGCTGTATGGTGTTTAAAACTTGTAACAAATGTGTCTCCAGTCATTTTTGGGCAGTGTCAACTGGGCCTTCATTGGTGTGGATGAAGCACACCGACTGAAGAATGATGACTCCCTCCTCTACAAGACCATGATGGATTTCAAGTCCAATCACAGGCTTCTGATCACAGGAACGCCACTGCAGAACTCCCTGAAAGAGCTCTGGTCCCTGCTGCACTTCATTATGCCCGAGAAGTAGGACATGTCAATTTTTAAGCTTAACCAGTAACTTCTCTCCTTGCTGTAGTAGTGATGTAGAAGTGTTCTCAGAGTATGTTCAGTACTCCTTGATACCACTGTCAGGTGTCAGGGCTTCAGACTAACTTTTTTTTACTAGGAGCACTGTAGCCCCTAACAGAAACTTTTAGCGCTGCAGGCAGACAATTTTGGAGCGCACACCTTAAATAGACCACAATTTTTCACATTTTAACTGTATTACTGATAAATGCTTTGGTTTAATGCAGGAACTACACTGTGCTGTTTAAGTTCACAGTTATATAACGCGCATTTTGCTTTCATCCCTGTGACGTCACTGGGATGAAAGGGAAACGGCTGGACTGCAAACGAGCTGCTTTCTGTGGGAGATGGGAACTCCCTTTGGGCTGGACTTTGGGCTTTTTCACTTTGCAAACCTGTTACATAACTCAATAAAGGAGAGGGGAAAAACCCAAAAAGCATAATACCATCTCTTTAAGAAAACAGATGGACTAACTTCTTAGTTAACTTGAATGATTTAGTTTTTCTATAAACACATGGGTCCGGAGGTGCTGAGTGAATCTCTGTGCCAGCTCCGCAATGAATTGATTTTACGCCTATTTAATGGTAAAGGCTGCGATTACACTGTGGTCACATGACATGCGAGAGTAAAGCAACGGTGAAGTGGTGTTTCAAAACAAACTGATCTGTTGAAGCCAGAGCGCTGCTTACCAGCAGCATCGGGCGGCTGCGGGGGAGGGTGGCATGGGTGGGCAGGACTCCGGTGTTGTCTGAGAATTACTAAGCTGGTCTATTAGATGCGAGAGGCGTTACTTGGTTTTATTATTATTATTTGCCAACTTTTGTATTAAACCTCAAATTGAGTATTTTTTTTTGTTTGCTTGCTGGGATACAGAAATTAGGTTTTTGTTGATATGGACTCTTTGATTCGCTTACTGTGTAACACACTTTGGTGAACTGTGTGTTTCTTCTGTCTGTAGGTAGACCTACCTGATATTATATGATAATATTTAACTCAAATCATCTTTCTCTGAAATTATTATAATTTGATGCCACTTCTCTACCATTGCGCATAATAATTCATGCATCAGCTAATTTCATCATAACATAAGAAAGAAAGAACAGTGTGTGTTTAATCTATCTAATATTGTGTTGGTCATACTACACACTGATTTATTGCTTGTCTGTTTTGAATAATACAGGAAATACAGATTATTTTCCAAAATCGTTCAGTCCTAGTATATGTGGTGGTCGTCGACGCATGGAAAAAACAATCGCTGATCATCCCTTAAATCGTCGATAGCCGATCCAATCGCCAATCGGAACAAGCCTAAAATGCACAATGGAAGTTACAATGCTGTGTCATTTGTGTATCTGTCTCGGCATCTTTTATATTTTAATAATTTATAATAATTTAAAATTTCATCCGTGAAGAAAGTTATCCACATTACAAAATACAACATTTGGGACTTACTATTGAAGTAGCCTATCTGAACAAAGATTTCAAGGTGGCCTCAAACTCCTGAAAAATAGCCTACAAATCATAGTACAAAAATGTACAAGTCTAGACCAAAAAACAGTTAGCCTAAACATTTAAAAATGAGATATACGGTTTGCTCAAACGTTCATATGATTATCTTTATATTCAAGCATCAATCATATCAAAAGTATCAAAAAAAGTCACAACTAACTAGAACATAAACTACAATGAAAGTAAGTACTCGCACTCCTATAGCCTACAAAAAATATTTCTCTCACTTGTGTCCATTAAGCAAACAGCACAAAAATAAACACATCTATCTTTCAATAATTTCTACCAGATTATATTTTAAAGTGATCATATGCTCATTTTCAGGTTGATATTTGTATGTGGGGATTGTACCAGAATAGGTTTACATGGTTTAATTTTCAATGGGAGGAGGCTACTACTGCACACTCTCTTAAGTGTGGCAGAGGGACCAAACTGAAGCTTTATTTCCACTAAAGAAATGGCTGAATTTGGCAGTGTGGGAGAATTTTGGGTGACCAGGGCGTTGTTTAAGAGGTGACTGATCACCTGTTCAAAAACTTGTTGTTAAAAGGTTGGCGCTAAAGGAGCGAATAACTACATTAAACTTGATGCTGCACCTGCAGGATCACCACCCAAGTAAAGGCAGGCTACATCATAACTGAGTTACATAATGTGGTAAGTTGGTAGGGAATTAAATATAAACGTGTCACTTACAATCGATGCCGTAGCGGAGAGAGTCGAACTTTCAGTGCAGTGTAAACAAACAAAGCAGGTGTAACCTTTCAGACCCACCGCAACAACAACACCACTGCTGGGCTATGAGGCCCATTATTTTCAATGACTTGCGCCGCACCAGAGCGGGTAGTTGCTGGGCCTGCTGCAACCATTTCTGTTTGGGAGCATTGGTTAGGGGTGTCCGAATAGTAGGTTTATGCACAACTGCAAGCCTCTGGAGGATCTCACACCTTGAGGTTCGCGGGACTCCAGAGGCAGCAGCAGCTTCAAATACCTGTTTGCTGCTTTGTAATGGCAGTTTAGCAGCTAATCTCTTAATCCGATGAATTTGTCTGGCAGTACGCATGAGTTTGAAAATCTAAATATTTAATGTTTATGACACTTAATTCCAATTTGTATAATAATTTGGAACATGGTGTATTATAGAAATATAATTGTTAATGTATTTAAATATTAAAAATCAACTTTAAGTCATTACTAGTGTGAAATTAATTAATGCATAAAAATTGTCATAATCATGAAACCGTGATTATTCCTCAGACTATAATCGTACCAACAATCTGTAATTAATGCATCCCTATTTGACTGCCTAGAGGGTAGCTAACGTTTGGAAGAGAGAGTGGGAGTGAGGTGAGGCAGCAGGCGGATGTCTTGTCACTTTGTGATGCAGCTCAGTGTGTTTTTCCACTGGTGTTTTTGAGGGTGTGCCTGACTAGCATTATGATGTGTGTTACAACGTGACGCAACATGGTAACGGAAGAAAAGGCTAGATTACAACCACTGTTTTCAGTCACTTCAGAATAATGTTTTCTGTGGGAGATGGGAACTCCCTTTAAGGTGGACTTTGGGCTTGTTCACTTTGTAAATGTAAATGCTCCGTATTTGTATAGCACCTTTCTAGTCTTTTCGACCACTCAAAGCGCTTTTACACTACATCTGTATTAACCATTCACACACATTCATACACTGGCGGAATAGCCGCCAGGGGCAGTTCGGGGTTCAGTATCTTGCCCAAGGACACTTCGACACGCAACCAGGGGGAGCCATTGAACTGCTCTACCTCCTGAGCCACAGCCGCCTGTTACATGCACACACAAAAAAAAAAAATATATATATATATATATATATAAAACACAAGAGGAAAAGAAATGCCAAAAAGCAGAATATGACTTCTTGAATGTTTTCTGTCGGCTATAAAGAAAATACAGTTGTAGTGGCACAGAAGCTATTACCATGGTTACTACATATAGTGTGCCTGACCTTTACTCACTGAATGCTTGTCTGTTTGTCTTGGTCTGTATTCAGAGCCTCTAACCAATGTATTTTTACCATGTCGGTTGATTTGGTTATTTAATCCTATTAATATTTCCCCACTGTTTGTGTTCATGTACTTTCCCCACCTCGTGAACTTCGGAGTCTGAAACACCGGGGAGATGTTAGCTAGCGATAACCACCTTCACTTTCAGTAGTTAGGGAAACAACAGAAATCCATTTTTTTTAACGGACACACTATGACCTACACTGTACATTTACTGCCAGACTAACAACAAACTCGATCGCTCTCTCTCATTAGCTCACCCACTCACTCGCACTCCTCAAAATACCTGACTCCGCTGCTCTTATCAGCGCCTGTCACGTAGATGTCCTTTGATGAATGAGGAGAGCAAGCTAGCAAAGTGTGTGTTGCTGTGCACACAAAGTGTGCAAGTGAAAATCATTAGTTCAGCACTGACATTTATAATTGGCTAAAATTTTAGTAGCGACGCTCATAATTCAGCAGCGGCGATGCACCGAATATAGGGGAACCATGTCTCTGTAATGTGCACGTCTACATTACCGTTTTCAATTAACATTTAGATAATCAATTTTTTAAATCTGAAAGAAAGAAAAAATCAACAAAAAAACAATACACTCAGCTTTAATAATTAAACATATGTACAATACAAACTTTTCTGGTGAACTGAGGGCAAAAAACCCCAACAGAAAACATTCAACTGTTGGTCAAGTTGACAATAAACGACTTGACAGGCCGGGAAATTGCGCTGTGCAGACTCATTCCCTCATTGTTTTTCAACTTGAAATAAAAAAATGTTGTCAAAATGACAGGTAGCACATGTGTGAGTAGTTGTAAACAATACTCAAAAAATGCGAGCATTTGGTCTCAGTCTGGAGCCCTGGGTGTGGTTACACATGCAATGGAGTGCACTTTTCACCACGGCAAACAGTGATATTGTGCCAGTCTAAAAATGTCATCATATGAGGTCAGAAAGAATGCAAAACAGCTTGGTGTCAAAGGTAGAATGAAGCATTGCAGGTTTCGAGATGGGGGGGGTCTAGCGGTGTCCACGCATTCTAACGTCATACCGATTTATACTAATTTAAAAAATGGCCCTGGAAATTGCAGCAGGTAGCCTGTGTGAAGGCCAAGATCAGTTTCACTGGCAATATTCAGTTTAATGAATTCCCCATCAGACATCACTATAAAACAAATAGCAACCAAGCGAATTAGAGACAGTAAATAACTTCTTTCCAAAGAAGAGGCCTCTGCTAATTTAGGCTGTCAGAATCAATCTAGTGAACATCTGACATAGTGCATAGCCCTATTTGTTCTGCAGAGACTAAATAGGCTTTAATATGCCATTAATGGAAAGTGAAAGTATTTGTGCAGCTTTGTGCAGGACCATACATGCTGCTTTCCAACATGGCCAGTGGCACAGTGTGCAGTTATTGGATTTGAATAACATAAGAAGACCAACTAAACCTTCAATTCAAAAGGTATTTTCTCAATGATTTTTTAAATGTTTGCATCTGCCCAGCCAGTGTTTCCCTTATATCAGTGGTTCTCAACCTTTTTTGGGCCAGCGCCCCCCTATTCATTATCCGGGTCCTTTACCACCCCCCATCTAAAAAGATGTTTGCTATTTGCCCTGAATTTTGTTAAACAAATTTTGTATTGTTATTAAAAACATGGAAAAAACACATAATTGAATGAAAAATATATTATTTACTTTCCCAGGTAACAAAAAAGCCATGTGAAAAGTAATTTAATTAATAAGTGAATGTTCCTCCCAGAAACTGTGACTGAGAGCTGCACTGACTTATATTCTGTTATAGTTAGGCTATAGATTTTTTAGTCGTCACCTGCCACCGGAATTTTGTGTGTCATATAATTAAGCATTAAAGATTTCTTAAAAATGGTGTTAAAATCTCGTCTCGATCTCGTGAAACCAGTCTCGAATCTCGTCTCGTGGGTTAAGTGTCTCGTCACACCCCTACTAAATACACTTTTGAGAAGTTCTGATGAGAGAAATCAACTGTGTAGAATTTGAATATTGGCAGTTTTACGAAAGTTGATGGCGAAAATGTGCTCAAATGTTTTTGGGGTTGAGAAGCTCCACAAGCGCCCGCAAGGTTAGCGGTGCCCGCCTGCCAGCCAGTCACGTCCACAACCCTCTGGTGCTAGTTACTCAGACCACTGCAATAGCAACAACAGAGGAAAGGCCACAACTGTAAGATAGTTTTAATGTTCGTACCGTTGTTACAATCTGAGTAATGGTTTAACATTTTAAAGTAAATCAAGAAACATCCGGCTCGTAATGTAGCCTACAGAACATCCTTAGCTTATAAAACTTACAAGTACTTTGGAAAAATAAAGTATTATGAAAGGGGGCTGTTGCTTTATTACTCTAAATAGAGATTACATTGTTAGTGTACAGTTGTGGTTAAAGTACTTGCATTTAATTTGCTTTTATTTATATAGTTAAAAAGCAAAATTCTTCATTAAAAATGATAAGTTTTAAAGTTATAACCTACTTGGCAATAAATCAGTGTATGAGCTTATTGTTTTGGTGATAAAGCCTGGCTGTTATCTTGGAGCAGCTTCTCCATAGTTATTTGCTTTCTTGGTTTTGAGGTCTCATGGATGATGCTGGCTAAGAGAACACTCTTTTAGTTGCGTTAGCAAATACGTTAAATGCAATAGTAAATCAGTGAATTATAGGAGTAGCCTACGTTGTCTTGTCTTCTTCCCTGGTTTCCCCCTGGTGTTGATACTAGTGTTCATTCTGAATAGTAAACCTCGTTTGCTTAATGGTAACGTTAGCTAGTTAGGCTGCGTGTTGGAGATCGGTAATTCACTTAAAATATATTTAATTAGTTAAAATGTTTGGTTAGGGTTAGGGGGTGACAAAAATAATTATGACTTATTGATTAAATAAGTAACAGATTTAATTTACTACGAAAATGATTATTAGTTGCAGTCCTGTTTCTGAGTAAACTTCTCTCTCTCTGTTTGTTTATTCTGAATGAAAATTTCTTCCTTGCAACACCAGCAAGTGTGGAAGAACGTTTTAAACTGGATGTTAGTTTTACATTGGATATTCGACAGATGTCTGTTAAAATTCCAACTTAAAACTAACTTCACCTCAGTGAAAAACGGCATCCCTTTGCGGAAATATTACAGTAAAGTGTGGAATTTGAGACACAATGAAGGACATGATTGACACTTTTCTATTATCAAATGATATATCATAATGTCGCACAGCTCTATATGGACCCCAGTCAGAAAAGTAAATACTAATGGAGATCCTAATAAGGAGAGTTTTCCAATACAGATTAGTTACAAAAATGTTTGTGTAGCACTCAACAGACTCAAACCACCACACTGCTATATCTGCAATAGAACAATATCGGATGACCAATAAATCGGCAGGTCTTCGCTAAATGTTAAAGCCTTTTTTCACACACAAACACAGTAAAAAATAAAATAAAAATATCCAGATATAGATATATTTTTGGTTGTAACAATATATCATGATATTCTAATATTCTAACCAACTAGGAATTTTGTCCTGAGTTGACTGTATCGCTACGCTCCCACTGATGTATGTCTTGTTTCTCAAGGTTTCACTCTTGGGAGTTGTTTGAGGAAGAGCATGGTAAGGGCAGGGATTCGGGCTACACCAGTCTGCACAAAGAGCTGGAGCCTTTTCTACTGCGCCGAGTCAAGAAGGATGTGGAGAAATCTCTTCCTGCCAAAGTGGAGCAGATTCTCAGAGTTGAGATGAGTGCTATCCAAAAACAGTATTACAAGTAAGAGCTAAATAGAAAGAAATGTGTAGATATTTGATTTCTTATCATTATGCACCTTTAAGTAAACCACATGAGTGAACTTCAGCAGTAATGTGTAGAAAACTTTGATGCATGACCATTTTTGTTAAGAAGACATGCACATCTTATTTTTCAGTCCAAATTAAGGGTTAAGGATGTATTCAGACTGATGATAGCGCACTAGCAAAATACCTGTCCCGCTGCAACTTTCACGGCACCAATGCAGGCCTTATTGAAATGAATTATCCTGAGGCTTATTTCCCCAATTTTATTTATTTACATGTTTATTTGACAGGGACCAATAATCTGATGAATGAAGAGAGATGGCTAAAAGGTCTTTTTCGTTCTCGGGCATTATACTCAAAATTCTTTGAAAGGGCCCTGCATCAGTCAGTCAGTTAATATGGGGTCATCTCATGCTAGTCTTATACAGAAAAGAAGCATTTTACAGTAATTATGGAAATGGACATTTCTAATGTAATTTTGCTGCTAGACATTTTAGCTAAACTTATGGAATAGTGTACAAGCCCCATTTCCAGAAAAGTTATATTTTCCAAAATGCATTAAAAACAAAAATCTGTGATGTTAATTTATTGGAACCTTTTATTTAACTGACAAAAGCACTGATGCACACCCATACCATCACAGAGGCTGGCTTTTGCACCTTTCATTGATAATAATCTGGATGGTCTTTTTCATCTTTGGCACGGTGTGATGTCATGGCATGAAATTCTAACTTGGTTTTTATTTACAAAATACAATTACACTGGTCAGTAAAACTATTATTACTATATTACTATTAATTTTTATTGCATTTTGGGTAATATCCCAACCTTTCTGGAAATGGGGTTTGTAGTAATAGGTGCGTGTGTGTGTTTTCTGTTTGTGATCAGATGGATCCTGACCAGGAACTACAAGGCTCTGAGTAAAGGTACAAAAGGCAGCACGTCGGGTTTCCTGAACATCATGATGGAGTTGAAGAAGTGTTGTAACCACTGTTACCTTATCAAGCCCCCAGAAGACAACGAATTTGTCAACAGAGCTGAAGCCTTACAGGTCTGTGTATTTTATGCTATTGTGTTGCAGCACCAGGGTTTCTGTTAGGCCTGACAAAGTTTATATTTTTTAATTTAGGAGTTTTGCAAAGATCCAGACAATCCAGTCCAGTAAAAACATTTAGTCCAAAACACATTATTCCATCAATAAATCCCCAGGGATGATGCTGCTGCATCATTTCATATTTGCCGGCAAACGTGGCAGTATGTCATTATAACCGTAATAACTCCGATTTGGATGTAAACAAATGGAGTATCTTGTACTCAAATTAGCCGCTGACCTTTCGACTGACGGCTAATTTGACCCAATAGGAGCTCACATGTTCACAGCCTACATAGCCAACTATAAGTAAGGGCCAGCCCTTATCATTTCGTGGGTTGGCTGAGCCAATTGCAACCAATTGTGCTGGCATTTCGTGTAGCCAATAAAATTCTGAAATTAACGATATCCAGCTTTAAGTTGGAAGTACATGATCTACCTGCAAAAAAACACATCAGCGTCAATCTACCGCGTGATGCTGCAGCAGCCCATTGCTGCAAGGGGTGGTGCTGTTTTTGAAAAAAACAAAACACTAAGACATACCCTTAGAAAACCTAATGTAAAATATAATTTTTCATGGAATTGGTATAAAATTTAAAATTGGACTAGGTAAGACTTTATGCTGTGGCCCCACAGTGTTTTTCAGCTAATAAATCCCAGCTGTAGTTGTCTGCATGGAAACGAAAAATATATTCCTTTTTAGTGTGTTTTAAACTTATATTAATCAATTCCAGTAGCAATTTAGTGATTCTGACTTTTGGGTTAGACACTTCAGAGTGTTATCGTTCAGAGAAGCCCAAAACCGTACATTTACTCCAAATAGTTCATGAACTGCATTCAATTTACTTTGGATATACCTTGAATAGGCGTTTAAAACAAATTTTACAGGAATGGTAAAAGCTTACCGTTACTGACACATGTTTCTATTACTCTATTTTTCTACCCAATTTCAATAATCAGTGAAGCCAATAGTAGACTAAATAATAGAAAGTGTATAGTTCAATATAGTTAGAACAGAAACACTCAGATCATACAGTTGAATTGCCACCTCTGTTAAACTGTTTAAACAAACTGAATTCCTACCCCAACAATGACTACACTTGACTTGCTTGACTTTCATCACAGTGACTTGAGACTTGAAGGTTAAGACTTGAGACTTGCTTGTGACTTGGACATGTGTGACTTACTGCCACCTCTTGGTAACTAAGGCGCATTTGAAATTGGAGCCTGACTGACTTATCGTTACGCAGATATTATCGGCCGATTTGAGCTAATTGCAGATTAATCGGCATCTGCATTTATAATGGCCAATTTATGGCCATTACAAAAGTTAGTCTGATCTTTCACTCATGTCATGAGTGTTGCATAGTTTGCCCACCAGAGGGTCCTCTTCAACATCACTGTTGATAACACTGCAACACCACAAAAAAAAGATAGATATCTTCAGGGCAGGACTCCTATCAAACATATGAAGTTTGGGGCAGATTTGACCAAATACAGTCCAGTTACAACTATTTAATATTTCATGGCAAAGGATCAAAAGTCAATGCCACGACACGGCATTACATTATAGCATCATCAAGGTCTTAAGCTTTTTCTGATACACTTTTGAGATGAATCAGATCAACTTGCTAGGATAAGTACATGATAGTATAAAACATGTCATTATGTTTTGCCAGTAGGTGGCGCCATACCTATGACTAAACAAGTTTGTAGGGGTCTTCAGGGTGGGACTTTTATCAAACATGTACAGTTTGGGGCAGATTTAACCACGCCCAGCCCATTTACTATTTATTATTGGTGAAACATTAAAATTGTACGCCACGCCAGAGACCTGCAGTTTGATGTATCCTAAAAAGCTTTGCAATTTAACATTGCAAGGGTCTTTGGATGGCACTGCCCACAAGTTGATCTGATCATATCCGTAGGAGGAGTTCATTATGGAGTATGGTGCCAGTAAACAGCGTAAGATCAGACATTCAATTCAATATAGCTGACTTCCTCTTGGGTTTGGTGTATGGCTCCAAGAGACTTTTCTTTAAAGAGGTGGTTTTCTGCTCATTTTCAGGTTCAAAATCTTATTTAGGGGTTGTACCAGAACAGGTTTACATGGTTTAATTTTCAAAAAACACCATATTTTCAACATACTGCACATTGCTGCAGCTCCTCTTTTCACCTTCCATTACTTAACCCAATGTTTTAGATCTTTGCTGTGGTATAGTGTCAGTATTGGTAATGAGATATTTAGGCAGGTATCATATCGAAGTCATAATTTTGGTGTTGTGACAACACTACCACCATGTGCTGTTCTACCTGGTAGCAATGTCAGGTTTCAGTTCATGACTTGACAGGCCAAGCTTTCAGTTTTATTTGCAGGTAGTGGTTTGTAGTAGTGCTGCGGTAGAAGAATGTTGATATTCATTTCAACTCAAGATTAATGTATGAGAACTGAGTGGATAAATTCCGGCAGCATACCAAATGAACAAAGTTGAGTTCACATTAATTTCATGATTTTACTATAGACAAATAACTTTTAGCCCCTCTTTTCCTCTTATAGCAACTGATCCGCAGCAGTGGGAAGCTTGTTCTGTTGGACAAACTACTGGTGCGTTTGAAGGAGCGAGGCCACAGAGTTCTCATCTTCTCCCAGATGGTACGGATGCTGGATATCCTGGCTGAATATCTGAGGAGCCGACAGTTCCTCTTTCAGGTAGCTACACACTGTCCTCATACGACCATTAGACATGGTACTGTACATACATACACAGGTTATGCACCACAAAAGCACTCACAGAATTTTGTTCCGGCTAACAACTAAAGATGAAATGCCATCGACATATTTTTTAGACTTTTTCTAATTTGAAATGTTGTATATTTGTATAGAGATTAGATGGCTCCATTAAAGGGGAGATGAGGAAGCAGGCGTTGGATCATTTTAATGCTGAGGGCTCAGAGGTAAGACCTATGCCTTGGATACAGTAAAATGCAGTGTTTACCTAATTTGAATAAACAAGGACTGCAATATATAGTGAACCTCTACTTGTGCCCAGGATTTCTGCTTCCTGTTATCAACACGTGCGGGTGGTCTGGGTATCAATCTGGCATCGGCTGACACAGTAGTCATCTTTGACTCAGACTGGAACCCCCAGAATGATCTGCAGGCCCAGGCCAGAGCCCACAGGATTGGACAGAAAAGACAGGTAAGCAACAACTTTCATAAACCTAGAGCCAATTCTTTGTTTGTTGTAATTTGCTGCAGTATGCAAACTGTCACCTGTATTAACACACTATAGAGTTGGCAGTGAGTAACATGATGTTGACTGTGGCTACTGGACACAGTAGCTGCTTTATAGCAAAAGCCTTCGAATAGTTGGCCAGTGAAACACTGAAATTGTGAAGCAGCAACAGGAAGTGTTGGCATTAACAAATACTGCAGCTCCGCCCGGAGCAGCAGAGAAAACTGGTTGTTACCAGTAGCATTACCTAATTACTGATGGAGATCAATGATTGGGCAAGATTACAGGAAAAAGGCAATGAGGCCAACCAATTATCCTGCTGTGGACAAAGATTCTTTAAAGTAACAATACCGCAATGTTAAAGTTTATAATGAAGTCCTACATTTAAATTTGAGTAAAAGTACGGAAGTATTGGCAACAAAATGTGCATAAAGTATGAAAAGGTGGATTGTCCAGTTTCAGAGATTTAGATTATTAGAATTAATATAGATTATTTAAGGCTGGATGATATGAGGAAGTCACAGCGTGCTTCTCAAGTCTTTTAATTGCATCCATGTTTCCCTCACTTGCGTCTTTTCCTTGCGTCTTAGTCCTGCCCACCAGGGATGTATGGAGAGACGCAAGGAAACCAAACCAGGAGAGAGAAGTTTCTGATGACGGCAGTAGCTGATCACAGCTAACAGCTATAGAGACTTTTGATGGAGTTTGTGTCTGCACACATGTGCACTGTGTTGGTACTACTAAAGTCTCAGTTATCAGTGCAGAGCAGCACGATTCTCTCTGTAGCTGTTACCTGTTAACAAACACCTGCCATGAATAATTATAGGTTACTGTATGTCCTGCACACAGGATCCTTTCTACTGGAACAATGCTTATATTGTCTGCAGTTAGACTTATTGGTTCTGATTGTAAATTTAGTGTTGAATAACCCAGAATGTGATCATGGTATCTTTGGATTTATTTGGCTAAATGTTAAAGGCAAATTGAAATGATGTAGTTTTAGGTTTTCCATTTATTTCCTCTTCTGATATCCTTTAAAACTACTGCATAGCCTAGGCCTACAGCTGATTTTACTCACAGAGCCGCTGTCTGCTTTCATCAGATGCAGTAGGTGAAATCTGCTGGATGAGCAGCTTTATTTTCCTTTTAGTGACTTGTCCAACTCCTTTGGTTTTTTATGTTTACTATGTAACACAGGAATGATCAGCCTCACATGTTGTGACAACCTGCAACTGCCAGGTTGCACCACCCTGTAAACACTCACTCTTAATCAGACTCACCAGCCATAAACTACTCCACTTCTATACCACCGCTGAGTAGGCTACAATATTCATCGCCTTCCAGTTGTCTCCGGTCGTAAGTCCAACAAAACCCCTGTCTTGCTCTGGCCAGTTTCCTTTGTTTTTCCTAGGCTCCTCTGTGATGGGCTGATTTGTGTTGATACTTTGTGATGGACAAAATTTAAGTTGCTACTTGGTATGGACTAAACTTATGATGATATTTTGTGATGGAGTGAATTTATGTTGCTACTTTAGTTAAACTGGACTGAACTGCGGCTGATGTGCGTTTAGAGTTGATTGCAGTGTGTTATTTTGAGATTTTCTTTTCTTTTGTGGATTGATAAAATACAAAATACCTCTGTTTCAAGCTGAACCTTTGAGTGCTGGTATTTCTTATCACACTGTTGTATATTTCAATGCGAGGGTGTACATTTTATGTGTGCGTCCTTTGTAACATTTGTGTTGTAAGCCTAAAAATCTTAAATGCCAGGAGAGTGACCTGACTGGCACCCCTGTAAAAAAGTGTGGCAGCATTTCATTCTTCTCTCAACCAAAAAGGTTAACTGCTGCATTTGCAGAGCTGAGCTTTTCTGAAGAGAAGTGTTTCTTACTGACAGACTCCGACTCTCTCTGACTTTAATTGTCTCTATAATAAAAGTTAATAGTAGAAAGAAAGAAAAAAATCTTTCTAATAAATGAAGAAAGTTTTGTCGGGCTGTTGTTCAGACCTACAATGAATTCAGATTTTAACTAGACAGTAAATCAAAACAAATCAAATATAATACTTTACATTGATACAGTTGAGTTTAATGTTATCTGTCCTGATGTATCAGATCAGTCTGATCAGCTGCAGCGTCTAATCAATAGAACGACTACCCAGTAAGGGGGTGGTCGGTCAGTAAAACCTCCGCGAAGGATGCACGGGTGTATCCTTGCTCATAGATCCTCAGAAATTGCTGCTGGTTCCTGACTCCTCGGAGTGCAAAGAATAGCTCTGGGACAGTATGCAAGATGGCGGAGCGGAACAACTTCCGGTTTGAGTGAGGAGAAAGGAGCAAAGAAACGACAAATAAGAGACTTCAGAAGCACCCACAGTGTGCCTGTTAACAAGAGCTCATTTGTTGTTTCCCTAAATGCTGGAAAGTGAAGGCAGTTGGCGCTAGCAAAGATCTCCCTTTGCTTCCGGTCTGGAAGCTGAGCAGGACGGGACGGAATCACACGACAACAAACGCGGTAGTCTCTTTTTAGGGGAAAGTACATAAACACCATGATGAACAGGATTAAAAAAACAATAACAGACATGGGAAAATTCAATCATTTAGAAGTTCTGAATTTCGGCTTCGATTACCTTTCAATTAATCGTCCAGCCCTATGATCAAATGTTCAAATTTTTAAGTATTTGATTGACATTTTCATATATAATATCTATAATAATGCATCATTTATGAGATCATGATATGTTCTATATGGAAAAATAGCTGTAAATGTATTCGTGTTAGCTGTCAAATATAGTGGATATATGGAATAGCCCGCCAGAATGTAGTGGAGTAGAAGTACAAAGTAGCATAAAGAACAATTACTCAAGTATCTCAAGATTGTACTAAAGTACAGTAATTTAGTAAATGTACTTGATTACATTCTACCACTGTGGTCATCACATTACTAAAGTACAGTTTTTCTACTTGGATAATCCCTAGGAGACATAGATTATCCACCAAATGCACTGCCAAAAAGTGTTTAATTGCTGTCCCGTTGATATACACAGTATACTGTAAATCTTTGCTTGTGGTTTGCAGGTGAATATCTATCGTCTGGTGACGAAGGGCTCAGTTGAAGAGGACATCATCGAGAGGGCGAAGAAAAAAATGGTGCTGGACCACCTTGTCATTCAGAGGATGGACACCACAGGGAAAACTGTGCTCCATACTGGTGCTGCACCCTCCAGGCAAGCAACACATGCTGCATTCTGCTGCTTCACTGACTGTCCTCATTCTGCCCATGTCCCTTGACCTAAAATCTCTACTCTTGACCACATTGTTATTGACAGAGCTGCCAAGACAAGCTCTTTTCTTTTCTTACCCAGTGCTGCAACACTTTATCTCACTTGAGTTTGTTTTATTTTATTACATACAGTTCAGCACCATTCAACAAGGAGGAGCTGTCTGCCATTCTGAAGTTTGGTGCTGTGGAGCTTTTCAAAGAGCCAGAGGGTGAGGAGCAGGAGCCTCAGGTATGTAGTTATATACAGAATTGTATGTACTTAATTACACTTTATTTCGAAATATATGGAAGTAGCATGTTATGGCCACTTCTGCTGTGTAGGAAATGGACATTGACGAGATCCTCAAAAGAGCTGAGACCAGGGAAAATGATCCTGGACCCTCCACAGTGGGAGAAGAACTGCTGTCTCAGTTCAAGGTAAAAGAAAAAACACTTTCAGAATGTTTCAGAAACTGATTGAACAATATTCAACATTGTTATACTCTGTTCTTCAGCAAAGTTGTTTGTTGACTTTTTTTATGTAGGTGGCCAACTTTTCCATGATGGAGGATGAAGAAATGGATATTGACTCTGAACGTAGTCATCGGAGTTGGGACGATATCATTCCTGAGGAGCAGAGGAGGAGGATGGAGGAGGAGGAGAGACAGAAAGAGCTGGAGGAAATCTATTTGCTGCCACGCATGAGGAATTGTGCCAAACAGGTAACACAAGAACTCATGTCAGCTATTCTAAGCACTCGTGATTTAGGTATTTAGTTTTCAGAAAAAAAATATTTGCTGTAATTTGCATGCTATTCAGGGCTACTGTGCGTTTTGGGTAATTATGAACTTCAGGGTGTATTTTCTTGGTTTTTGTTAACAGATAAGCTTTAATGCCAGTGAGGGCCGGCAGAGCAGGAACAGGAGGTATTCTGGATCTGACAGTGACTCCCCCTCAGACCGAAAGAGGCCAAAGAAACGAGGACGGCCTAGAACCATTCCACGAGAAAATATCAAGGGCTTCAGCGATGCTGAGATTCGGAGGTTATTATATTAAAAGCAGATTTCTCAGTTTGGCTATATAAACTCCTTACATATTCCTTTTAACATTTCTGTGAACTACTTACAGGTTTGTCAAAAGTTACAAAAAATTTGGAGGACCACTAGAAAGGTAAAGTGCATCAGATTTTGTTTTTGTTAACAATTAAGAACAACGTGCCACACAGTCTGTTTAACATATGTCTTTTCAGGTTGGATGCTATTGCTCGTGATGCTGAACTTGTGGATAAGTCTGAACATGACCTGAAACGCTTGGCAGAGACGGTTCACAACGGCTGCGTGAGAACACTACGAGAAAACCCTTGTGGACCAGAGAAGACATCCGGTAACTAAACAGATCCTTTAATGTGTTAAAGATTCTATCAGCACATGATGGGAAATACTTGTTTTTGCACACTAGTTCAAAATCTGTGTGAGCACTTCTCCTTTGCTGAGTTAATCCATCCACCTCACCTCAAGGGTAGCAATTTAACTCGTGGCTGTGACTCATTTGGATCTGACATTTAGTGGGCAGCCGCAATTTGAATTAGTCCATCCTAGTAGATCCCATTCACATATAATAGCTGACTCATTGATTTTGAATCAGACTGTGCTATTGGCCTGTGTAGGTATTAACCTACATTCATACTAACACTATCAATAATTTCTTAAAATCTATCTATTTTAATAATGTCCATTACATGTCAGATAACTGTGGAAATGCCCAAAGTGATGTTTTCAAGTGACTTATTTGCTCTATCAATAGTCCAAAACGGAAATTGACATTGATATAAAAAAAGAAAAAGTGTCAAATATTGAAGGAGCTGCAATATTTCAGACAGCAAATCAACTTTGCTCTGTACACATACCAAT